TTTTCGTGTCCCAGGTTTGATGGCCACCTCTTATCATTTTCGTGTCACATCCTGTCATATGGACTTAGGGAATTATTGCTATAGTGTTGCCGTTTTCGCATCGAAAATTATTTATTTAATTGAATCCGGTGACATTTTATTAATAATAACATATATACATAATAACTAACAAACATACATATGTATGTACATACAGTAATCATAAGAAATAAGTGCGAATTCTGTAGACATTGTTTAAAAAGTTTTATTATCGTATAGTATGATTTTTCACAAAAGATTCTATTTTCTACCATTTAATATTTTCTACGTGTTATTCTAAAAAAAAAAAAAAAAATAGAACATAATGTTAAAAAGAAATTAATGTTTCTTAAAATGCTTTAAATTTTATACAGAATGCGACTGTTAAATGAAAATATATTTGCTGTATTTTTGTTTTTATAAAAAACATGTTTCAGATAAAGTTGCACTATTTTAAGGCGCATATTCATTGAAAGTGGAAAGAATTATTTTCAAGATCATTTTAAAGTGAAAATAACGGACTCATATCTTTGTCGATCTTCTTATGAAGATTATTATTACATATAAAAATTAAAATTTAATTATCTGAATATTCATTTCCAATCATTTAATACCGAGAAGTTTTTTCGGAACGAGCCGTTTATTAAAGAGATTGAATTTCATGTTAGAACAGTACGGATATCTATTGGAATCAAGCAAACATAATGATCTGACGTTCAATGTACGAGAATTAATATAAAATATAAAATAGATTTATAGAATGATTTTGTAAATTATATAATTGATGTATATTCGAAGGAATTGCGGTTAGTCCAAATTGTTCGAAAGCTCTCATTGAATTGCCTGTTCAGTCCCTTCTGTTGATCATCGTTTTGTTGACATAAAACAGTAACCTATCTCTTCTAAGAACCATAGTCCTCGACATATAGTAGAGAACCATAGTCGTACCACGCAGATACTACGAAATTTCTTTACAGTTTTGTCAAAAATTTAACGACATATTTTCACATATTCTATTTATTTTATATGAATTTAAAATGATATATTCTCATTCAGTACTGTTCATTCTCATTCTCTTTCCAATTGCTTCCATCACGATGTCATCGTACAGAATAACAAATGAAAAGCGAGTTAAAAGGTCTATTCAAGATTTTCTAATGGAAGAATAGTTGTCAAATCTAAAAATTGAACATGGTTGCCACATTTTTGATCCATCGATGGGCCCTGTACATGAAATAATGAAATTAGCAAAATAGAC